TGGCCAATGAAGTGTCATTTAGAAAGACCAGCAATGTAGCTTTTTTAACCATCATTTGACCTACTCAGCTGCATCCCTTAACTGAAAAATTACAAAGTCGATGTTCTTTATGTTCACTGCACAGATTCCTTTCTATGCCAGTACTGGAGACGAGTATCAGTATGCCCAACCAAATTTTCCCCCTTATTTTTATTTTCTAAATGTGTTTACTTTTTGCATTACAATTCCTTTTTCTACATTATTTCTGAAAAATCAAATACTTAAGAGCAATGCATTAACAATACGCTTTAGAGTGGGAAGGTCTTCATTCTTACCAGCATACATCACCTGATTTAATCTATTCCTAGGCCACTGTAAGTGGACATAGCCACTATAGCTTTAAAACTCAAAGAAACAATTTAAAGTTGCAGTGAGTTAGCTTCCCATACAGTAGTATCAGAGCAAAAGATGAATATTACATCTGTTCAGTGCAACTAACTGTAAAGTAGTCTAATTGTTTTACACCCTTAATGACGACTAGAACAGTACAGCAAAGGAAAAGGGCGATGTTTGCTCTGAGTCACTAATAATGAAATGAAAATAAAGATCTGGTTATATCAACAGAATACAAACACTCCCAAATGGCCACAGTACATTTGAAATCAAAAAGGAAAGGAAGTGTACCTACTTTCCAAATTATTTGTTTCCATTGCTACCAAAAAGGCCCATTCATAATAAAATAGTCCTTTTTCCTTATGGGTGCCATTAGCATAATAGGATCCCAGTCGGAGGAGGACTTGAATAAAATCTCTGCCACAATCCATGCTTGGAAGCCTTGAGAACAGCTTCACAGCTTTGATGAAGTAGCGCTCTGCCAAGTTACTAGCGGCTGAATCCAGACATAGCATCCCAAAATTGGCCAACACAACTGCTTGGTTATGGGTCATTTTAGTCTCTTCCGAGATCTGTAGAGCTTTGTAGTAGTTCTCAGCTGCTTCTTTTATATTCTTCACTCTTTTCACAGCAATACCAATCATATTATAAATAACACCCAACTGTTGAGGACTTCCACAAAAAGAGTCTGCTGTAGCATTTAAAATGACCAAAGCATCAGCATTTTGTCTGTGCAGAATATATAACCAAGCAAGTAAAACTAAGTGGTTAATAGTTTCTTCGGCACTGGGTGAAGTATTGGAGTCCAGTACTTTCTCCATACAAACAATGGCCTTCCCATATTGTCTGTGATGCCTGTACAGTTCTGCTAAGCCAAGATAAATTGTGCTGCATAGTTTTTGTTGTTCATTGGTAAATACAGAGGCAAGCGCGTGTCTGAGGTAAGGCGCAATTTGTGATGGGAGTGTTTGTCCTGCTTTTCTAAGCTGATACAGCTTGGGTGCATTTTTCATAACCAAATCAATGCTTCTCAAACAATTAATTAAAGTACCTGAGCCCTGGGAAGAAGCAATCCTTACGCAGCTTAGCACAATGTGTGGCAAGTATTTCTGACTGTAGAATTCACCCAGTTTAAAATAGCAGTTGATTGACAAGGAGCTGTTTTGTAAACCCAACTCATTATTCAATAATTGCAGCCTTTCTAGAAATGGTAGTGCCTCTTCGTACTGCTTAAGTCTTGTGTAATGTTTTACCAAAAGAAAGCATGCTCTAGCCTCTGCATGCTTGCTCTGACTCACTATTGTCCTCTTTAAGGCACTCCTTAAAATATCCAACTCCATGTCAGTGCTGCAAATGCAGTTGGGAATCCCCACAAGCAGGGATGCGGCCTTGTCAAAAATGCGAGCACTTTTTTCTTTGTTCTTCTGCTTCAAGTAAATGGCTGTTAGATTTGTATAAAGAGCGATAACCAGACACAGGTCACCAAAATCTCCTTTCATTGCTCCCATGGCTTCTTCAAAATAAACCCGTGCTTGAGAAAATTTCAGCTTTCTAACACTCAGTCTACCCAAAAGAAAGCATAGCCTCATCAGGGCCCAAGGCATATTTGCTTTTTTTGCTGCCTCTCTTGCCAATCTAAAATAGCCAACTAGTTCATCCTCACCACTATAGCCATAAAATGTGGTGCTCAGAAATGGGAATGAGAAGTCATAGAGATTTTTGAAGTCTCTCTCATACTCTTTACTGTTTAAAAACAGTAACAAAGACTGAAAGACCTCAGACTCCAGATCATCTTTATCTTGATGTATGCAGAAATGTGGTTCTTCAGACAAGGGAATGGTCTCTTTATTTGAAGACCTATAAAAATCCTTTTCTTGACTCTCTGTCCTTTCCAACTGGAGCTGTGAATCTTTACATTTCATCAGGAATTCTTTCACCTTCTTCATTCTACTGAACTCTGTGTGAGATGAGTGATGTGAAAAGTCTGCAATACAAAAGTCAGTTAAGGATCCAGGTAAATAGATGCAAGCTAAAAGTGTATGGGGCAAGAAATTCAACATTTAAGGAAAACACTAATAGAATTTCCTAAGGAAATGTGAAAAGTTGATAGTTAATGTTCTTATTTTGTTAAGATTAATTGTAATACACAATAAAATTAACACTATTATTATATAAATACAATTAATACAATTGATTATTCCGTATAGACGATTTAAATGTATGTACTACAATTATGATATATTAATAATTGTAATATACATACGTGGGTACACAAAAATTAAATTTATAAAAACACTGTAGTTGATAAAGTTCATGTAGATGCCCCAATTTGCACCAATTAATTATTTGTTTCTCACTATCCAGGTTCTCCTACCACTACCATTGTCGTGACACCTGAATGCTTCATAGGGTTATGAAAGGACAGGAAGATTACTCCCTCCTTTCCCAATTGCTGGAGAGTTCTCCCACAGATCACTGGGAAGAGAAATGCCTCTAAATGTTGTTGATTAGAAATTACTGAGTATCATTAAGAGCTTGTTGGAGCTTTCTATGAAGAATTTCAGAATTTCATAGGACTCTGGTCTAATAACAATCCTGCAGGAACATCAAGGATTCTCAGTTTATACTGGGAGAACGCAAGTTTAACAGGACAGGGGCCATACGGTCTTACACAGGCATTCAGTGCCTCACAATGATCCAGGATGGGGCTGCAAATACTAAAATGCAAATTAATATTAAAATGACATCACGCTCAACCAAGAAAACACAATGGAAAGGAATACACCATCAGGAAAATAGTAGATGAGCATGACTTTTAGCAGATTTGCAAGCCAATGTAATTTAGAACTGAATATTCCCAAGGTATCAAAAAGGCCACATTTTGCTTTCTTTCTGCTAGAGAAGGTCACAGCAATATTGCACAGCATGTGGCTAACGTACAAGTGGAAGGAAAAGTCTGAAACTGAGTATTTAATACCAATAAACCCCAAGAACCAAAAAATACAACAAAGTGCAGGGGGAAGGGAATTATATGAAGTAGGAACAAGTTTTCAAATGTGAAAAAGGTGTAGTGAATTGTACAGTTGGGAGCTGGCGTGAATGCTGCCATGATAAGACTGAACATGGCCATATAATGAAAAGTAATACAAAGTGCATATTATGTCTTTTACCTTGCTCATAAGGCTTCTGAAATTCCAATTGTTCTAATCCATCTAAGAGACAATAAAAATAATAATATTAATTACATTGTGTGTTTTGCCCATTTATTTGGTTTTAAATATCCTAATGTACACAAAGTATATCAAACATTAAAAATACTGGAGTATTTTGTAAAAACGAACAAACATTAACTCAAGGGCAAATTTCCCTCCACTTCTATGAGTTCTATGTTATCTTATTCATGTTCTTTGCCTCTGCATTATTTATATTATCTGCATGTGGTACTTATGTATACCCTTGCCGAAACATATGCCAGGATATGGCTGTAATCGTAAGATTTGGTGCAAGTCAGAATAGTTTAATTAGCAATAAGTAACTATTGCCTTATGTAGAACCTATATCAATCTATACATACTGTTATGTAACTTTATAAACATTACCCTTAGAATGCAAGATGTCTTTAAAAAAAAAGGAACATTATGTTATAGCTCTGGCATATTAAGTTATTATTATTCATTAGTAGTAGTATTCAAATGAGTTTTAGTGTCAGTCTTCTAAAAAAATAAATTTCAAGAAACAGTAATTTATTGGCAAAAGAGATGAGTAGTCATATACCAGACCATTCTAGCAACATGTTGGTGGATAATCATATTAGCATGCATGAAAAATTTCTGTGGAGGTATCCACACTATCTTCATTCTCTACTTCCATTAGGTGTCTCTCTCTCTTCTCTTTCTTGCTCACACATTTTCTAGGTCTCAGATTTAGGAAACAAATTTAAAAGGTTATGTCTGTTTAATAATGCACATCTATACAATATGGAAGAATCATTGTGTTATATAAAGAGAGGCTACCACGCCTTCTGCAGAGAATTTCTAATCAATTGAAAGTAAACCTCTTAACTGGTTATGTATGCATTCCTTAATGAGTTTGTCAGTTCCAGTAAGATGTGTTTTATTGCACATCCTTCTAACAAGGTTTCTGATGCTTTCTTATTAAAGTACCCATACTTTAATGAAGAGGATCATTATTCTACACCTGCTAAATGCACAAAAGAAGTGGCAGAACATCTAAAATATAGGATTACGGAATTAAACTCTAACAGACCTAATTTCTGCTTTATTAAGGCCTTTCAGTGCTAGTCAATGGTATATTGGCATTTGTATTGTTATAAAACACTTACTATTCATGTGCAGGGGGAAGAAGTGGAAGGGGAGTGGGGCAGAGAGCAAGGGGGATGTCTGCCCCCCTCCCCCCCAGCTGCCTGACCTGTTCCCCCGCTACCTGCCCCTATGCTGCTGCTTTCCTGCCTGCAGCAGTGGAGGGGCATGGGAGGAGGCAGGCAGCACATGAAAGACAACCCTCCAATAAATTAGCTTCTATACTTGTAAAACAAATTTATAAATTTTCCAGCTATAGAACCTAATTATTCGGTAAATACGGTATATAGTTAGATAAGATTGGACAAGCTTTTGGGCACAAAGTGCCATTCCTCAGGTATGGGAAAGAAACAGATATAGCCCAAGCAAAAAACCAGATTGAACAATGACTTAACTCTTATAGAAGAGGAAGATGGCAGTGAACCGAAAGGAGGAAAGTCATCAGAAGCAGCTACAAAACAAGTCAAGGGCAGTTGAAATAGATAACCTAAACTCTGAAAAAAATACAAGACCATTTAAAAGGGAAGAGGGTTGTTATTACCTGTAGTGTTCAGAGAAATTATCAGATGGAAGAGATAATAAGCCATAAGACCACGTGTGCATTTAGTCCATGTTATTTACACATAACGGAGTTAAACAAAAGTAATCGTCTCATCTCTTATTTAGCTTAGACTGTATTTACTTCTTTCCCAGATCTGAGGATGTCACTTTGCCTTATCTGCACATCACAGAGCAACTCTCACAAAAGCACTCTTACAGACCCAAGGGAACACACGACAAGCCTCAACTTGCCCTGTGCAAAATGAAGTTTATTTTCTACCTAAGAGGGCTTTTACAATCTTTGATTTCTCCTCAGCCTGAAGAAGGATGCATCTGTCCGAAAGCTTGCACAGAAAGAATTTTTTTTTGCTACTTTTTAGTTGGTCTTTTTCTCAGACCAGCATGGCCACAAAATAGATCCCTAAAAGTTTGTCTAACATTTCTCCCAACTGTAGACCCAGACCAGTAAAATGGTTGTATGGGATCAGGAACAGGGCAAGTGAGGATGTGGCCACACACACACTTCACCTTGCCATACATGCCGTGAGCTTAGTGAAAGCAGTGATTCCAGGCAGAGCCAGAGCCAAGAGCTCACATGTGTGACTGTGCCACCTCACTCCCTGTGGATCCACCCTATTATCAACAAAACCTTGCTTCTTGCACATTCCCCTGACCAGAGCTGTAACACCTCTTTGATACTAAAATACATTTATGTCATATCACAGTGATGGACATTACCAGGATGTAGGATCAGTATGCAGCACTAAAAGATCTGATATGGCCATACTGATTTGACTAAAGTTACACCAGTTAGGCATCTGCCAAACCATAAATTAGATAACAGACCAGAATACGTTTGCCAGATCATGGAAAGCATGTTAAATAAACTAAAATATATGGCAAGTCAAGACGAGACACTTTTTTCTGAGACATGTTATACTTGTCAAATATTATGCAAGAGAAAATGGATTAAATACAAGAAACTGGTCCCTGGCAAATGCAGGCTTAATCTATTTATGCTAAAATCAGTGAACCCTCTTGGCCTTGATTTTAGTAAAAGAATGAGACGCTGAATTCGCTTTTCCTGTTATTTCTATCCATTGTGGAAAGTGAGAAGGCTTTAAAGCAGTGACTATATCAAAAAGCCACTTTACTAAAAGAAAAATATTACATTGGTACTGACAGTTACAGGTAGGACTTCTACAGTCTTTTGAAAGCTTATTTAAGCACAGAGGTATGTATTTTTGTTTTCATTAGCATTCAACAATTACACCATTTTTATTGATAATACCACAAAACAGATAGTAACTGAGTGTATGCACTGCCACTTTTATAATGCCGCACTCTGTTTGAAAGCTGCAAAATCTACTTAACCATAGAACAGTGTCTCGGGGTCACAGAAGAAACATTACTTAGCTCATTTAAAAGTGGACAAAAGGAATTGATGAATACCTTGAAGAGACAGTGTTGCATCAGCA